CGTGCTACTGTACGTCGTGTTTTGAGACTTGGCAATTTAGCTTTACGTTTAAGAAGTGTTACGCTTGTGTGGTATGAATAATCGGAAAAGATGAATCTGGCCGCACGGTTCTGAACGGATTCAAGGATGGTACTTGAGTTAGCTTGTGGTAAGTCCCAGACTGCACACGCGAGCTCCAGCTTTGGGCGAACAAGCGTTTCGTAGGCCAATAATTTAACTGTGGACGGAGCCAGGTTAATGTTACGTCGGAGGAAGCCCAGCGCGCGATTCGCGTCACTGGTAATGCGATTTATGTGGGATGACCATGTAAGGTCATGAGAAATAAGAAGACCTAGATATTTAGTGGACGAGACAGGAAATATAGCGGAGCCACTTAAGAAATATTTGTACGTGGAATAGGAGTGACGCCTGTGGAATGACATGATGGATGTTTTGTGAACGTTTAGCACCATGAGCCATTTGTTGCACCATTCATCTATCTTCCTTAGGTCTTGCTGGAGTGCTACGTTATCACTGGGATTGATAATGGGGCGATAAATGACGCAGTCGTCCGCGAAGAACCGAATGCTTGAAGAAATATTGTCTGGTAGGTCGTTGATGTATATGAGAAAAAGTAAGGGCCCGAGGACCGTCCCTTGAGGAACACCTGATAGGACAGGAGATAAGGATGAAGAACTGTTGTTAGCGTAGACAAACTGCTGTCGGTTAGTTAAGAAGTTTGAAAGCCATGCAAATACATGTTCGTCAAGGTTTAAATGTGAAAGTTTAGATAGCAAACGCTTGTGGGGAACTTTGTCGAAGGCCTTCTCGAAATCTATGAAAATAGCATCGACAGGGACGTTAATGTCTAATTTAGAATTAATGTCACTTAGGAATCTGATGTGTTCGCCTCTTGTTTTCTTCATTAAAGGCTGCGTTCCAATTCTTTAACTGAATGCCTTTAACCTTTTCTAAATACGCATGCCGCAAACAGCTGGATTTTGCTCGTTTAGACTATAAGCAACTGCTTTCATACGCATAGAAGTGCTTCTACATTAACTAGCGCCGATCTTCCCCTTTGAACTGTAAATGTTCCTTCACTCGCTTTCACAGTCGTATTGATTGTCCACGCCTTTTATTCATACATATTGTGTGAACGGGAGTACGTAGACTCGATCGTCAGCCAGGATATGCTTGTATACAGTCCTCGCCAAACACCGCCGTTGGCGCTGTCACCGACCTGCATTCGCCTAATTACAGCGAGCTTGAAAGGAGCTGAAAATTAACGTTTATTTTGACTCCAACACCACCTTCCAACGTTATTAGGAGTACTGAACAAGTTTTTTCTGATCCATTTATGTAACTGTAACCGGCAGGCGAATCGATTGCAATGTGTTTACTAAGGGCAGAATTAAGAACTGTTGAAAGCCAGGATTACTAAAAAAAATTATCGTGGATAAATGGCACGCCCAAAAAACACGATAGCGGGGGGGGGGGGGGGGGGGGGGGGCGGCGGCGCGCCAATCAGTTGGTGTCGGCGGCAGCGCGTCGACGTCTCGGCGCCCACCTCTAACACAGTCCCGGCACCAATGGGCCAACAACGCACCAATTATAGTACTGCAACTGTCATAGGCGTGCAACCGGCGCGATTCTCCATCCGATTCAAGTTACAGCTAGCAACAGCCTCCACCGCGTTCTGGCATTGTTCCAATGCCAGCATTGGTGCTGTGTAGTTTCGGAAACAAAGTCCTTGGCGGAGACCAGCAGGAAAGCGCCGTGAGATTCGTGGCGGGGAGTTTTGAGCACACGGATTGAAAGGTAAGTGGTGCGGCCCACTGAAGATTGAGTGTCAGTGCATGATCAACAACAACACGTGTGGAACCAACTACCGCCCTGGTTCAGAAGGCATGCTGCTAACTTGCATCCGTAAAATAATTGTGGATTCTATCGGCGTCATGTCGCGAGACTCGAGTGCTCTGGGTTTCATTCGGATGCTGTTTGTAATGTGCGCACACATCGAATAAGTTGTATAACTCGGCAAGCGCCGACCACTTGACGACGAGTTGCCCCAGAGACACCCGACTGCCAGCCAAGCGACCACATCCAACGCAGTGTCGTCAAAGCCATTGCATTCGCCAGTGCGCATGGACGGTGAAAAGGTAAGCGCCTTTCTTCTCATTGCACTCCTCACGGTTGTTTAAAATTTGGATAATGGCACCTTGTAACGTTATTGATACACTGCGGTCATCACATTAGGGAATCCTACTAATCTGAAAGATAAGTGCACAAATGATAACTAGTGCTAATTGACGCTTCGCCTTACTTGCAACAACTGGGGCACAAAAAAAAAAAATATGTGTTTGTGTGAAGGATCTGGCAGTAACGTAAACTTCATTTCGCCTCTGTGATCTGTTGTACGTGCATGATTTTTTTGTCGTAAAATATTTATAACGTTTCAAAGTGCTACTAATAAAATTGGCTCTAGGGACCATGTGCATCATATCCACTTAATTTGCATTATGTCATGGCGTAACTACTCTTAATTTGATAGTCGGAAACAAGGGCACACGTAAAAATTACAATGCAAGTTTTCGCAGCGCAGGTTTTTTTTTAATGAAAAACTAGACCCATGAAGTCAAAACCTACAACCCTAAACAGGTGTGATCTCACAACCGTATCAGCTGACACTGGTGTGAGAGGAGGTTGAATCATGGTTAAACATTACACCTAGTGATCACGAAGAAAAAAAAAAGGGGGGGGGGGGTCAGCGGTAAAAAAACAGAATAGAACAAATAAAGCATATGAGGCCGTCAATGTCACAGAAACGTGTCGTGAATTAGGTATGTGGTGATGCGGTTTCCTTCAAAAAGCTAATTTCTTTTCTTGAGAGAGAGCGATCGAAGGAGTGCTCATGCACCTTTCTTTGATATGCATGTAAAATGCTTCCATAATTTCCCCCACTGGCTGATCAAGAGATCGCTCCATAACTTTTGTGTGAGGAAACAGCACTGTACCTAATGAATGCCTTTTCTCACACTCTGGTGCCCGTAAAGGCCGAAAAGCAACACAAGTCCACAAGGCTGTCATTTGCTCTATCATGGAGAAGATGGTGGTGTGCACTTTCAAAAATTGAGCAGGTGCTGTAGTAGTTGGCTGATAGTAGTGCTTGGCATTGCACGTCTTAAAGTGAAGTGTCCCCCTGATCCTGTTTGAATGTACCTGCCTGTTAGTAAAGGTAGGCTGATTGATCTGTAATCCTTAATTTGTCTCCAATCTTTTGTTGTAACAATTAGTGGCATTTTTCCAGTACTCTGGCACTTTTGATCTTTGAAGCATTCAGCGGGATGGGTGTGTTTGATTCCGGCGTGGTACACAGAACTGGTGCTGCAAAAGTTCAGATGGCGCCACTGCAGGGCAAACGCCGTGCAGATGGTGCAAGTGCAGTGCTATCACCTTTTTTTTTTCCTCTCTTGTATTGAGGGCACTGGTGTATCGCCTGTCGTCTGCTCTGCTCGATCACACAGGCTCGTTTTTCGTGCATCGTCCGCATTCAGCCGAAAAAATTCCCCTACCAGCCGCTGCATGAATCTCCACGCTGCCGCCCACTGCTATCACGGCGTTATAGTTTATGTTGGACACCATAAATTTACATCCACTATCGATGCCATGTTTAACCAAGCATCGGCAAATTGTGTCGTCTGCTTCCAAGCTGCACAGCAACGGCGCCTCCTATCGAGCAGGTTCAGAAATTCTCTGCACCGTGGCGGCACCGCACCTGCACCAAGGGGTACAGGTGAATCGAACGCACCTAATATGTCACAAGCTCTCTCCATGTGCAATCCCCCTGATATGTGGTGAAAGCAACTCTTTATGTTGTATTCTCAGGCCACTTTTCCACTAGACGTATCATGTACGGCCTTTTTTTTAACATAATCTAAAGTGCATATGAAACTTGTCTTGTTATATCAATCTCACTCAAAAATAAATGACATAAGAATATGTCTTCTCCCACCTTTCCTATTTTACTGAAAGTGCAGATAACACTGCCCTGCTTTATTCTTTAGTGCATGCTTGCGTGCATGATCTGTCCTTTCTAAGCAGCATTCCTTTTAGCAGGATTGATGCTAGCGCTTGGCTTACTACTTCCTTGCCTAGTGAACATTGCAATTTTATTTCACAGCAATTTTTTTATCAGCCTTTTTAACTCAGCAAATAGAATTTTCCGTGTAGAGCTAGAAAATCTCGTGTATCGCCATTTCCTAAGTCTTGTGTGGTTGGAAAAGCATGCTTACTTCTTGCCTTAGTACATTACTTTGAACTTCAGAGATAAGTCTTGCGGTGGTGTAACTTTTTCTATCGAAATATTTTGCACTTGTTTTAGGGCATCACACTTCCTTTCAAGGCCAATCTGAAATTATTCGAGTTTTACCCTTACTTATGCGCCATCTAGTATCTGGCACATAATAGCCATTGCTGCTTTTGCACCATGAAACCCAACATGATGAAGTAACCTTACATGTAGATTAGCCTTTACTTTACCGGTCAATATTACTCTTGTTCTTCTCAGATTGTGGATGTAGCAGCATGATTTTAGTTGAAAGTGCATCAGCGTTTACTTTGGTGCTTGTGTGTGCGGTGCGGACCCAAAAAGTGCCTGTGTTCGAAGACCGTGGCTGGAATGTGAGACGTGCGGGCTCTAAAGGGCTTGTGTTTAGTGCACGGGGTCACAAAAGTGTGCGAGTACATGTGTGAATGTGACTTGTGTACGGGTTGCATGAGATGCTCTCAAGCACTGGAGTCAATCGTATTGAGCAACGGGATGGCTCGTTGGTGTTTTGACGGGGCAGTGGAGATTGAATGTCGAATCACAGCCATTACTTTGTTGTCTCGACCCTGCTCAGCTGGGCCTTTCCCCAGCTTCCACCATTGTTAGCGTTCTGCTAGCCTAAGCATCGCCCTGCTTAACCCTGGTGCTGTTATTGCTACAACCGGTGAGTTCCTCGGCATCAGTTGGGAAGTACCGGAACACGGTCTGGCACTGCTGAGGCAGTCTACCCCAGGGTGTTCACTATCATACTGAGGCAGCGAGGCCAAGGATGGTTCCAGCTTTTGACCAGACCAGAGCCTGTTGCAGCCCATCGCGCTACCACCCCTGAGACACCGAGAACAGCTATGCCGGCCAAACTGTGAGTGCTTGGATAGTTGACTACTGTGAATGATATATGAGCGATGAACTCATTTGTCTTTTTCGATGTTGGAACGAAGCAAGGGGAATTCTGGAGGAGTGGTGCCACTGTATTTGTGGCTAGTTCATTTTTTACTGCAAGCGCTTTTTCATAGCTCCTAGAAGCATGATACATGCTCCAAGATTTATGTATTCTCACTATACAGTTTAATATTCTCTCGTTTCTGTGTACAATTTTCGGTTTCAGTTTCTGGGCGCTGAGTAGGGCAGCGACATAGCAGTGTAAGTGGCTTTGTCCTGTGGCCACACAAAGCCAAGACATACGTTGTGCTGAGTATTGCCTGCTCTTGCATACACGTACCACACAAGTACCTGCTAAACAAACAAGCCGCGATGCTGTGTCAGTAAATGCATGGTGGTGGTCCGGATGTCACTCACCTCACTACAGGTCCAGTGTGATGTCACTACAACGTTTGCTGCCTTTGATACAGAGCTCAGTTAGTGTTGGATGCACTATGGAAAAGCCTCTATTGAGAGAATGAGCATTTATGCACACATCTTAAATGAATATGAAGCATTATAAACCTTGTGGTGTCTCACGATTTGTGTGGAGTGTCCTTGCATTCAGGTGAATCCCACAAGAGGCTTGTTATAGCCTGGAAATTTGATGTCACCCTTTCCTTAAGGGCTCGATTTTCTTTTTTAGACACAAAATTAATCTAAAAGGCAAGCTAACCGTCAGTCAAGTGAAGGAAATTATAGGTGATGCTATTTTTAGTGATTATAATATAAAAGGGAAAAAAATTCAAAGTGGACGAAAAGGTAACTTGCTGCTAGCCGGGAGCGAACTTGCAACATTCAAATAATTCATCCAATCGACAGCACATCTCCGGCGGAGACCAGCAGGAGAACACAGTAATGTTGGTAGCAGGAAAGTTTTGAACACATGGAATGAAACCTAAGCGATTCGGCTAATTGATAATTGGACAAAAATGCATGATTGACAAGATGTAGTTGCAAACTACAAAGCACGGAAGAAGAACTTCATGGAGCCAATCGTCATCCTGATTCAGAGGGCTTGCTGCCAACATGCATACGGAAAGAAATTGAGGATTCGATCTGCGTCATATCGCGAGACTCGAGTGCTCTGTGTTTCATTTGGATGCTGTCTGTAATGTGTGCACGCATCGAATAAGTTGTTTAACTCGGCAAGCGTCGACCACTTGACAACAAGTTACCCCAGAAACACCCAACCGTCAGCCAAGCAACCACGTCCAACGCAGTGTCTTCAAAGCTCTCGCCTTCGCCAGTAGGCATGGACGGTCAAAAGGTCAGCGCCTTTTTTCTCATTGCGCTGCTCACAATTGTTTAAGATTTCGGATAATGGCACCTTGTTACGTTATGGTTACGCTGTGGTAAACACATTAAACAATGCTACTAATCTGAAAGATAACTGCACAAATGATAACTAGTGCAAATGGACGCTTTACCCAAGTTGCAACAACTATGACATATAGAGAATATGTGTTTTTGTTAAGGAAGTGGCAGTAACATACATATTATTTCTCTGTGCGACTTGCAGTTCAAGCATGATATATATATTTTTAAAATATTTTATCAATGTTATCAAAATTCTAATAAAATAGGCTGTAGGTATCATATCCATCATCTGTACTTTATTTGCATCATTTCACAGTGTAACTCTTCAGTTGATAGCTCGAAGAATGGCTTGTGTAACAATTATAATGCATGTCTTTACAGCAGAGCTTTTTTTTTCTGTTATAAAAGCTAGACCCATAAAACCAGAACCCACAGCCTGAAACAGGTGTGATCCCTCTGCCATATCAAGATAAGGGCTAGAGAAAATTGGAGCTAGAATCATGTAAACATGCTCCATATTGAATGCCTTTTTCGCACTCTGGTGCCCTTAATGGCCCAAGAGCACTTAGACAGCCCTGGAAGGCTGTCATTACACCACTGTGAACAAGATGGCTGTACATGCTGTCAAAGATGAGGCAGGTGCTGCAGTGGTTGGCCGGTAGCAGTATTTGACACTGCACATCTTCTGAAGCCTTGTTGCATTGCACTCGTTATTGGTTAAAGGGAAGTATTTCTCTGATCCTGTTTGAATGTATCTTCGTAAGTATTTTGCATGATAGTGAAAGTACGCTGATTGTCCCGTAATTCTTCATTTTTTTCTGTCACTGATATTGTGCATTGATATAGTATTGGCATTTTTCAGTACTATGGCACTTTTCATCTTTTGAGGCATTCAGCATTAAATGTTCCAAGCATGTTGTATGTAAAATACCCTTGATAGTTGGTAAAGGAAAGATAGCTGTATTTTCGATGGAGGCGGAAGTGCTGTAGGCCCGTGTGATCAGATATTGGTGCACGTTAATTATTAGGGCAACACGAGAACCCAAGGTGGTCAAAATTTCCGGAGCTTTCCACTACGGCGTGTCTCATAATCATATGGTGGTTTTAGGGCGTTAAACCCCACATATCAATCAATTGCTAACAGCAACCATAATGCTGTATTCTCTGGCCATTTTTCTACTCGACGTATGATGTAAGGCCTTTTGTAATGCAATCTGAAGTTACATATGATACTGTCTCTTTTTATTTCATTTAATTCGAAGATTGATTACTTGTAAGGACATGTCTTGTCACAACTTCACTGGCACTGTAGTGTTCAAATTGCTGATAATGTTGCCCTGCTTATTCTTTAGTGCCCGCTTTTTCATCTTTCCTAAACCATTTCCTTTCAGCAGGCTTGATGCTTCCACTTGTTTTACTGCTGCCTTGTCTGGTAAACAGTGTAATTTTTCATTCACTAGATTTCTTTTCTATCAGTTTTGTTAGTTCAGAGAATATAATTCTACATGTTGAGCTAGCAATTCTTGTTTCTTGCCATTTCTTATGTCTTTTGTGGTGGGAAAAGCATGCTTATGTTTTGCCCTAGTACTTTACTTCTAACTTCAGTTGCTACATCAGAAATTAGTCTAGCTGTGGTTTAATTTTTGCTTTGTCAATATTTTATGCTTCTTTTAGGTCATCACATTTCCTCTCATGGACAAAGCGAAATTCTTCCTGTTTTACCCTCACTACATCTCTATTGGCTTCTATTTTACCATTTACTATTGCTGTTGTTCTTCTAAGATTGTGGATGTAGCAGCACGATCCTACTTGAAAGTACATGAGTGTCCTACTTGGGAAGTAAAAGCAGCACAAAAATATGTTCGCTATTATTGCATGAGTGTCCATCTTGGTGCTCTCGTCTGGCGTGTTGAGCCGAAAAGTGGAGTGCCTATGTTCCAAGTGCGGGGCCAAAATGTAAATTATGACGACTGAGTTGGTTGTATAAAGTGTACTGGGTCAAAAAAGAGTGGGTGTGCATGTGACTTGTGCACGGATTGCAAGAGACACTCTCGAGCTCTGGAGACAACGGTATTGAGGAATGGAATTGCTCGGCAGGATTTAAACTGGGGTAGCGGGAAAAAAAATGCCCAGCCACTGCCATGAATTCGTTGGCCCATCCCTGCTCAGCTGGGCCTCACCCTGTCTTCTGCTATTTTTGGTTTTCGGCTAGCCTAAGCATCGCCCTGTTTGCCCCTGGTGCTGTTACTGCTGAACATAGCGAGCTCTGCGGCACCAGTTGTTGGGAAGGAACAGAACATGGTCTGGCACCTCTGAGACTGGCTTCCCACAGTATTCACTATCAACCTGAGGCAATAAGTTCAAAGATGGTTCCAGCTTTTGACCTGACCAGAGCCTGTTCCAGCCCATCGCGCTACCACCCCTGAGGCCCCGAGAACAGCTATGTCGGCCGCACTAAGAGTGCTTCGATATTTTACTGGCGTTAATGATATATGCGCCACAGACTCGCATGTCTATTTTTATGTAGGAAAGAAAGAAGAAAAATTTTAAAGGCTCGTTTCTTTTGTTAAACACCACATTTATAATAACTAGCAGTAAATCAAGGGAAGAAAGTAATAGGTTATGCTATTTGTAATAACTTCAAGCCCTTGCCTTTTCTTACCACCTGGACATCGAGAAGAGACAGGCTGCCGCCCCTTTCACACTCGGCAGTGAATTGTATGTCTAGATGCAGGGAAGTCGAGTGCTGCCGAAAGTTTCCAATTTCAGATGCCTTCATGACACAAAAATAATCGTCTATGTAACAAAGAAATAGCTTGGGTTGCAGCGAGATGGAGCTAAGTGCTTTCCCTTCTATATGTTCCATGATCAGGTTTGCCATTGTGACGGAGATGAAGGCTCTCATTGTGGTTCCACTGTTCTGCCTGAAAATAGTTCATTTGTAGAAAAAGTATGTACTATACAGGCAGAAGTTCAGTAGATGGCAGAGCTTGTCAACAGCTAAAGGAGTCCTTTCACTCAGGCTTGGGTCATCCTCAAGCACAGCACAGGCATACGATACCGCTAAGGATACTGGTACATTGGTGAACAAAGAAATAATGTGAAATGAGACCAGGCTGTCGCAACAGCTGCACCAATCGCCCAATTTGATACGATTCCTGATTGCTGTACCAAGCTGCGCCAAAACAGCGAAATTTGCTGAAATCGCATCACGCTGTGCCATGATGCCAAGCTAGCCTAGAATTTTCTTTTCAGGTGCGCTGATTTCGGCAATAAATGCACGCCACATTGACCACTGCTTGCCATGAGTCAAAGTGCGCAGACCTGCACTACAGTGCCAAAAATATACTTAAAATATTCTAGGAATATTTTAGGCACCCATCATACGTTCGCGAGATGCGGTAAAACAGATAAAGTAAACACGCTTCGCACCCCTCGATCTGCTGACCGTAGCGGATACCTATTGGCCAATTGGTATCAGCTGTGGTCAGCGGACCAACGTAACTTCAAGACAAAAATGCGTTGCTGTAGCCACCAATGCTTTGTGGGAAATGTAAATTTCTTAGCCTGAAAA